AATTTATAATATCCATAACAAAGGTCCAATCGCTAATTTTTAACATAATTTTGAAGCATCTCCAAAATCCAATTAAACTTGTACATATAGAATTCAACCTACCAATTTCATGATTCTTCTTTCAATTTGGGCAAAATCATTATTTATCATCATGAATCAACCTAGGGTTTCAAGAAGATCAAGAATTTCAAGAAAAAAATCAAACTTCTTAACCACTACTTTTTATTCCAATTTTTCCATTGATTAAACACCTAAGATTCATAACCCACCATGTTAACCCAACAATTGAACCCACCAACACTTCAAACCCTAAACCCCCAAATCTCAAGATGTACACTATATGCTCAAAATGTGGGTTTTATATGTATATAATCAAAATACTACAAATCTATCTATTAATGCAAGTATTGAAGAAGAACTAGGACCCCTACCTCAAGAATCAAGCAAGGAGCAAAGCTTTGATGAGATTCCTTCACAAATTCAAATTCCAATCGGTAGAAAATGTTGGGCTTCAAGCCTTCTTCACTTCTTTGTAAGAGATCTTAGCCAATCCTTAGGGAAATGGAAGGTATTTGAGGTCAAAACCCTAGGGTTTTCAGACCTAGGGTGAGAGGGATGAAGAAGGAAAAGGAAAATGCAAAGAATGAGCTAAAAATCACGTTTTTAAGCTGCTGAATTCGTGCAGTCCCGCACGTGCGCCGCTTTTCCCGCTCGTGCGGACCTCTTTCAGCACAGATTCCAAAACTTCAAATGGGCATAACTCTCTCATCCGGACTCCGTTCTAAGTCGTTCTTGTGTCCAAATCGAAGCCCCGGAAATAAGATTTCCAATGGTTCTAGCCTCACATCCAAATTCAAAGTGTGGAAAAAGAAAAGGGCAAAGGGTGATGGCTGCTCAAAAACTCAAACTCAAATTTGGGGCTTTTGATCTAATCTTATCTTAAGACCTTGTTAAGACTTCAATCAAGGTTCCAAACATTACCTAAAGGTCTTCAATTATAATATTTAAAGTTCACTTGCCAACCCATCAATATCAAGAGTCCGATAACCGTACAAGTTTTAAGGTGACGGGCACCACTATACATCAATCCAATGTGAATTAAAATTTGAGTCATTACAATCTATTAGACAATAAGTCCACTTATTAGAACCTATACATAAGTACCCCAAATTTCAATCCAAACAAACTATAAGAGAAAAATTCTCTTAAAATTAATGAGGTGGGTGATTCATTATTCTTTTTTGGTTTTTTCTCTTAAAATTAAGATTAGTGTTTTAATCTTAAATATTTATTTTGATTAAACTTCAAAAACACATTATTTTTCATTATCAGAAATATAAGAATGTTATGGGTTGATGAAAAAAAAAATTTACTTCTAATTTTTTTCACTAAACTACTTTAAAGTGAAGACTTACAAATGTTTTCTATTTTTTCATAGGGCCAGGCTTCTCTCCATTCCTAGATCGAACTGGAACATGTTGTTAGGCTTGTGGGGGCCCATTATGGGTCATGTTTCAATGATCCGAACCATTTAATATGTGGAGCTCGTCAAGTATTTTATTCTTGAAAAATATCACGTTGATTGGATATCGATAGCTACTTGATTGGTTTAGATTTTTGTCAATGGTAAATATAATTTTCAAAATAAATTGTTGACAAAAATCTGATGCGATCAAATAGCTATCGATATCCGATCAACGTAATTTTTATAGAGATAAAGTACTTGATGAGCTCTACACATTGACGATTTCGATTTTCAAAACAAGACCTGTGGTGAACCCACGAGCCCAACAGCGCCGTTGGAGCCCAACAGCGACATGGTCTGACCTTTTTTAATATACACAGCTTGTTACCCAACCGTTTTACTTTTACCCAACTGTTGTGATTTTTGGTAATAAATTTCATTCGTTGTGCTACCCACCGAACGAGAAGTTATTTGGCTGGTCCATTCTACCATGTCGCTGTATGCCTATATTATAACAAGAGAACACCTAATCACTTTGTCTAAAACATAAGAGAAAAAGTAAAAAACATTAATTACATGACTCGATACAATTGCAAGGACACACCACGTCACATATAGAGTGAAGCTATTTGATAATTTCTCGAACGAGACACTTGTTGCCTTTCTGCTCTTCAATTGGCAATAGTGCCTCTTGGCTACCATTGCCTTAGTCATTCTTCAAAACTTTTGCACAAATAATGACTTGAAATATTTCATCAATAATGACTTGAAATATTTCATCTCATAAGAACTTCCATTCATCACTTAGCACAATTACATTCTTTCCTGAATTACTTCACACAAATCAAAATTCACAAATCACCTTAGCCCCAACTGCTTCACCTCGAACAATAAGAGACACCTACACTCCTGAAATATAGTACAATCACACCAACCACACTACTTAAAAACTTTAAGTCACAATATTTGTTACCCAGCCGAAACAATCTTTACATTAGCCTTACATATCTACTCTATCCTACACAATTGTTAACCACATTACACTCTAGGATTTAACTAACAATTCACGTAACATCTCCATATCCACTGAAATGATCTTATTCTAAAATTTAATTTACCCAAAAGCTATCACAATACTATTTTAAGTTCACATAGAACTCGTCATGATTAGGTACACTTCCTAACTAAATAAGGTACTCCTAATGAAAAAATTAACTCAAAGCCACACTTTCTTTCCTTGAAACCAATGCCATGCCATTAACTCCCAATTTGCAGCACGACTCCATTTCACGCTAATATTATAATGATCCACAAGATTAAAATTCGACAACTCCCGTAATACAGCGAAAGCGCCGTAGGGATCGGTGGCGTCGGCACGGGGGCAAAGCTAGGAGGGCACAACCAACACGTAGATTCTCTCGCCCAACTGCACAACGTCGCAAGAGGAGAAATTCAACGGTTATTCTCACTAGTCCGAGAGCTAAAAAGCGGTCTCGTCGGAGAGGAATTGGGGAACCGAAGGCTGGACAGCGGAAAATGTGTGCCATTCAGGGCAATAATGGTGATCAGTGGCGTCCGGACAAGAAACATTGTTCTGACTCCGAGAAAGACTCAGGTAACACTCTGTTGCGTGCCTTTGGACATGTGGAAGCCATTCCTTTAGTTCTTCCATAATTTCACCCCAAAAGACTTGTACAAATTTTATTAGCCCTCACAGTATGATCCTTATTCTACACTACCCTTATCTTCCTCAGCATATCTCCCTAGCCATTTCTCTAAAAAGCTTTGTTCAAAAACCTCAGTTTCCTAAGTCCCAATCCTTCATCCTTTAAAGGAAGACATGCTAAATCTTAATAAGTTAGTAATACTTGAATTCATTCTCAATACAAATTGAGTAGTGATATAGGAAGAAGAAAAATGAAGAAGGACAGAAGAATAAACCTGCGATTTGGGATGTGCAATTTACCTGCCAATCCACCAACCCACCCCTACCCAACCCAACCCGCTAGTTTGAGAAAGGTTATTCTCTTGAAAGTATCAATATTGACATGTTGGATAGGGATAGAGCTCATCTATTGCAGTACCTATGCTGTTATGCTACTTAAAAACATTATTTATCAAACCTCCATTGGATACTAACCCTTAAGGGAGTTGTGTCTCTAGACTCTCTCCTCACTACTTCAATTACTAGGTCACAGTTTTGTTATGGCATTACAAAACTAGTTATCAAGGACAAAAGGACCATGACAAATATACATACTATGGGTATTAAGCTCCTGAAGGGTTTCTGTGAATGGTGTAATTATCTTGATTATGTTAGATTTACACTGGGTTCATTGAAAAAGTGTTGTAGGTGTAAAAAGGATGCGGAAAAAATGTTCATCATTTAATCTTACATTGGCATGTTGGTGGCAGTGATGATGCCAAGAATCTGCTATAGAGTTGATTGGGTGCTGGCAGAGGGGTTGCCGAAGGCGGAATATGAGGTTGTGGTAGTTAGCTCCTTCATGTCTTATGGGGTGCTTGTGGAGTGAGAGACAATAGAATTTTGAGGGAGATGAGGCATTGTTTCATGAGAGTAATTTGGACAGTTTTATTATCTTTTGGTCCAAAGAGTTCTTTCCCTTTGTTGGATTCTTGTCTTGAATTTTTGGGCAAATGTGTCTATTTGTAAATTATATTGGTTTTATATCTTTTGGATTCTTGTAGATTTATTTTTTGGTGCTTTTATATACCTCATTTGCACATGGGATGCCTCCACTTTTTTGTTTCTATTTTGTTAATCTTTGCTTTTTTAAAAAGTAGTCTTAACTATTCTTTTTATGTGTTGATAAAACAGAAATTATGAACCAGTTTGATTTTAAGCTGATCATTCTGTTACTTTTTAAGTGGTAATCATATTCCTTTTCTATTTGTAATTGAGCCCCTTTTATCTGTTACAAATATTTTGCACTGTGTCCTTGCTGTGCTCCAACATTGATTAAATGTTTACCATTGTGTTATGCCATGTTTCCCACACGTGTCAAAATGCACTGTAGCTTACTCTAAGGGTGCTACATGGCAAAGCAGCATTATCACTGCTCCGGTGAATTTTGAGAATGGAGATAATGTTACACTCATTTTTTTATTTTTTTATTCCTTCTTAAAGTGTG